CTCGTCACCCAGGCTGGAGTGCAGTGGCACAATCTCAGCTCACTGCAACCTCCACCTCCCAGAATCAATCAATTCTCATGCCTCAGCCTCTGGAGTAGCTCAGAGTACAGGTGCCTGCCACCACACCCAGGTAATTTTTGTATTTTTAGTACAGGCAGGGTTTCACCATGTTGGCCAGGCTGGTCTCCAACTCCTGACTTCAAGTGATCTGGCTGCCTTGGGAAGTGCTGGAATTACAGGCATGAGCCACCATGTCCGGCCTGATGTTCCCTTTTCTTTACTTTTTTTTTTTTTTTTTGAGATGGAGTCTGCTTTATCACCCAGGCAGAAGTGCAGTGGCACCATCTAAGCTCACTGCAACCTCCACCTCCCAGGTTCAGGCAATTCTACTGTCTCAGGCTTCAGAATAGCTGGGATTACAGGCATGCACCATGCTCAGCTAATTTTGTGTTTTTTGTAGAGATGTGGTTTCACAATACTGGCCAGGCTGATCTCAGACTGTTACCTTTATAAATATTTAGAGAAATATATTTTCCTCCGGGCATCACATCGCTCCGCTCCACAAGGTTTCTATATTTTCACTATTGTTTAGTATTAACATTTGCTGATTTCCATTATAATTTCTTAGTTAACATACACATTATGTAGACGTATATTTTTTACCTTTCAAATGTATGGGTGTTGATGTTGTTTTATTATCCATTTTAACTTGATCACCTTGTAGTCAAAGAATGTTATATGTAGAACCAGATTCGTGAAATTTTCTTTCTTTATTCATTTTGAGCAAAATTGTGACACTGCACTCCAGCCTGCACCTCATCTCAAGAAGAAAAAAAGCAAAAGCTGTGATTCCAACCTGCGTCCACTCTCCCTGCTTCTTGCTTGTCTGCTGTGAGGAAGCCAGTGGCTGCAGTGCAAGCTGCCCCGGTGAGAGGGCTACATGGCAGGGGACCGAAGGCAGCAGAGGCCTCAGCTCAGCAACCTACAAGGAGCTGAATTCTGCCAAGAACCATGCGAGTGAGCGTGGAAGTGGGTGCTTTCCCATCCGAGCCTTGAGATGGCCACAGCTCTGGCTGACCCCTGGACTGCAGGGTTTTACCCCCTCAGTACAGGATAAACAGGATGGGCATTCCTGTCCAAAGAGGGAGAAGACAGGTGACTCAGTGGAGTCACTCACTGGCCCAACGTGCTTTTGAAATCCTACCAGGAAGTGGAGAAAGTTATTTGATTCGGTTCCCAGGTCCGTGACTAATTCTCTGCGGCTCTCCATGGCTCCACTCTCTGGGTCTTAGTTCTGTCCTCTGAGTACTCCTCCTTTGTCTTTTTCCTTCCTTTTATTTTTTCTTTTCTTTTCTTTTTTTTTTTTTTTTTTTTTTAATTTTTGAGACAGAATCTTGCTCTGCCACCCAGGCTGGAGTGCAGTGGTGTGATCTGGGCTCACTGCAACTCTCCATCCAGGTTCAAGTGATTCTCCTGCCTCAGCCTCCTGAGTGGCTGGGAGTCACCCCACATTGGGTGCCACTGTCTGGGTCACCACCTCTGGGGGTCTGTCCTGCAGACCGTGACTTAGCGATGGATGAATAAAGTACATCACATACAGAATACAGTGAGTGAGCGGGCTGGGTGTCCATGGCCACTTTCAGGTACCTGAAGAGAGTGCTGTAAATGGCTGAAACCACCAGCCTTCGCCAGCCAGTGAGACTCGCTTTTATTTAGTAAAGTTTAACTGACAAAGGCTCGAGTCAACCGCTAGTACTAGAGTGAGAAGATTAAAGGACAGTTTCCAAGCCCTACAGCAAACACCATTGGAGGGTAACCTCCCTGGTTGACCTCCCCCCGAGAGGACCATCTGGCTCAAAGGTAACGTTTAAAATCACATGAGTAAACAAGCTAGCTAGGTAAATACTCTCATTCCTTTGTATTTGTGCTCTAATCTCTCTGGCTCCTGCAAAGAGACTCTGGCTGCCTTCAGCCAAGAATTACAGAAAAAACCCTTAGTCCTTCCAAAAGAGTTTGGGACTATATTTTACAACTTTCTCGAATATTTTCCCTTTCATATTTTTGCCACCACCGGGAGTGAATCCTTACATCGCCCCCTTTTTTGTTTTTGACGTTGGGTCCTGTTGACCAAAGCGACGCAGCAGCAGCCCATCTGTCAGCAGTTGCTTTCATTCCAGCTTTGTGTCCTAGACTAAATAACACAGAACACCGTGAGTACAATTAGCAACATTCTTTTCCAGTCAATCAGTGACCTCCAAGAGCAGGGGCTTACCCAGGAGAGAGGATTTTGCAACCTTTCCATATGGCTGTTTGTCGGGGATGCAGATCAATAGTGTGAAGGGATTCTGAAATTTTAGTTTTAAGTTGCTTCACGTCTGCTGTTAAACTGTCATGAAAGGTTCCCCAGAGGTGGCGTTTCACCTCATGCCAACCGTGTATTGATCCATCCCATGGTAGAGAAGTGACACAGATACGTTTCTGTCCCCAGCCGCAGCTGCATTGCTGTGGTAATGCCAGGGCGTCCTGTCACTCCCCCACATATTCCACAGCAGCCCTTGAGGACTTGCAGACGTGCAATAATTTTTAAATCTATACCTTGTTGTAGGACAAATTCATTAGACACATTTTTGGTCAGATTATCTCCAAAAGCAGCTGTTTGTACTGACTCAGTAATAGATGCCACCACAACACTGGCAGTTGCCAGGATGACCATGACCGAGACTCTAAAGGCCATGAGCGTAACTACTAATCTTTTGTGTCTGACCTGGGGCAGGGCACGTTCTAAGGTGGCAAAGGCAGAGTCACCTTGCCAATCATGTGCCACGTTGACTGGTAGCAATGCCTCAGATAGTCTCCTTAATACTGTGACATTAGTAATTTCTTTTTTGAGATGGAGTCTAGCTCTGTTGCCCAGGCCGGAGTGCAATGGTGTGACCTCGGCTCACTACAACCTCCGTCTCCAGTGTTCAAGTGATTCTCCTGACTCAGCCTCCCGAGTAGCTGGGATTACAGGCATGCACCACCATGCCCAGCTAATTTTGCATTTTTAGTAGAGATAGAGTTTCTCCATGTTGGTCAGGCTGGTCTCGAACTCCTGACCTCAGGTGATCCACCAGCCTCAGCCTCCCAAAGTGCTAGGATTGCAGGCATGAACCACCGTGCCCAGACACATTAGTAATTTTTAAATTAGATATATTGTGATTAGTGACGCATGAGGCAAACCAAGCCTATCTCTATCTTTTGGGGTGTAATGGAACTGCTAGTTCCCACAAGGAAAGCATACGGATGGGTAGTGCAAATCAGGCACTGATCATTGTGATAATGAAGAAAGGTCATAGCGAGGTTGTGACTGGAATTATCATGTCCCCAGCCAGGTGTTAAGGGAGGTGCTGAGATGTCCCAGGCGCCAGAAGGTGCCTTGGGTGGCATGGATTTTACTCGGGGTTTGGGATATCCCATCCCCCCACTGGCCCAAATTATAGGGTAACGAGATGTGGCTGTGAAGCTGTGACTGATGCTGTGGTGGGTGGAAATGTCAGGAAGGCCGCCCTGCCGTCGGCCGTGGGGGCTCCAGTCTGAGATGTTACAATCGCCTAACTGGAGGCCACAGACCTCCCAGCTAAGGTGAAATCCATTACTTTTCTGGCTTTGTTCTTTCGCGCGGGAAGGAATGTTTGGGAAAGGGGCACTGATTACATTGCCCAGTTTGAGTCTGCCTGCAGCCAACAATGTCATGGCATTTTATTTGCCATGATGGAGCCGTACTTGTCTTTGGGCAGGTACACGGCAAGGGTTAGAACCTTCGTAACTTACACACAGTGGGAGGAGAGTGGAGTGACATGCGGCGTTAGCTGGCACCTTGGTCCAATGTGTGCCATTATTAAGGGAACTCACTGAGGGCAAATCTGTCCTTCCTAGCCAAGCATACTGAGATATAATTCACATACCCTAAAATTCGCATTGTAATAGGTAGAATTCCCTGCTTCTAGTCATTCATAGATCGGTGCAGCCATCACCACGGCCTAATCTTGGAACATGGGCCAGGCATGGTGGCTCACACCTGTCATCCCAGCACTTTGGGAGGCTAAAGTGAGTGGATCACCAGAGGTCAGGAGTTTAAGAGCAGCCTGGCCAACAGTGTGAAACCCCGTCTCTAGTAAAAATACAAAAAAATCAGCCGGGTGTGGTGGTGGGTGCCTGTAATCCCAGCAACTCTGGAGCTGAGGCAGGAGAATCGCTTGAACCTGGGAGGCAGAGGTCACAGTGAGCAGAGATCCTGCCAGTGCACTCCAGCCTGGGTGACAGAGCAAAACTCCATCTCAAAAAAAAAAAAAAAAATTAGCCAGGTGAGGTGACAGGTGCCTGTAATCTCAACTACTTGGGAGGCCGAGGCAGAAGAATTGCTTGAACCCAGGAGGCGGAGGTTGTAGCAGTGAGCTCAGATGGTGCCACTGCACTCCAGCCTGGGCAACACAGCGAGACTCTGTCTAAAAAAAAAAACATTGTCATGCTCCAGAAAGAATGCCGTCCGCTTTGGCAGCCGCTCCCCGTTCCTACTCCCCCAACCCCTGGGCACCCCAGTCAGCTTCCTGTCTCTAGGGATTACCTGTTCTGGACACTTCATAGAAATGGAACCGTGCAACCTGCGGCCAGTGTGCCTGGCTCTTTCCCTCTGCCTGTTTTCAAGGCTCATCCGCACTGTCAGTACTTTGGAGGCAGCAGAAATTTCGAATTCCATAAGCCCCAGGCTGCCCATGGCACCCTCACCTCAACCCCAGCCCTGACCAAATGGAAACCCAAAACCACCCTCTCTGCTGATGCTCATTTTATTCCAGACCCAACCTGGGCCCCTCTCCCAGGGAATTCCTCTTGCCATTTACCATGTGGTTAACAATGTTGTCATTGCCATTGAAACCTAGGTGTCGTTCGTCCTAACACTCTTAAATCTCTGGAGGGGCAAGAGTCCCCAGCGGCTAGCAGGGAGGCCAGGCTTCACTTACCAACGCTGCGGTCAAGCTGTGGCTGCTCTGCGGTCACCTTAAGGCTGGCCTGGATGCTGTCTGCTTCCACGTCGGTGCCCTGGTTGTTGACAAGATTCGGTTTCTCATGGCTTGTTAGAATAAGGACCTCAGTTCTTCCAAGGCTATGGCCCAGAGGCTGCTTTCAGTTCCTTTCAAAGTAGGCCTCTCGGCCGGGCAGCTCATAGTGTAGCAACTGTCTTCAGCAGAACAAAAAAGCACACCAGGAAGCATGACCAAGACAGCGTCAGCCTTCACAAGCTGCCTCCGGAAGTGACAGCCTGTTACTTTTGCCATTGTATGAGGGTTTTTTTCTTTTTCCTTTTTTTTTTTTTTTTTTTTTTGAGATGGAGTTTTGCTCTTGTCACCCAGGCTGGAGTGCAAAGGCGTGATCTCGGCTCACTGTAACCTCCGCCTCCCAGGTTCAAGCAATGCTCATTCATCGGCCTCCCGAGTAGCTGGGATTATAGGTGCCCACCACCACGTCTGGCTAATATTTGTATTTTTAGTACAGATGGGGTTTCACTATGTTGGCCAGTCCGGTCTTGAACTCCTGACCTCAGGTGATCTGCCTGCCTCGGCCTCCCAAAGTGCTGGGATCACAGGCATGAGCCATCATGCCCAGCCTCTTTTTCTTTCTAAATTGAGATAGGGTCTCGCCCCATCACCCAGACTGGAGTGCAGTGGCACAGTCACAGCTCACTGCAGCCTCAACTTCCCTGGCTCAAGTGATTCCCACCTCAGCCTCCCCCAGAACTGGGACTACAGACATGCACCACCACACCCAGCTAATGTTTATTTTTGTAGAGATGCGTCTCCGTAAGTTGCCCATGCTGGTCTCAAATTCCTGGGCTCCAGCAATCCTCCCTCCTTGGCCTCCAAAAGTTCTGGGATTACAGGTGTGAGCCACCAAGCCTGGTCTTGTATCAGTTCTCTACTGCTGTGTGACAGATTACCATAAATTCCAAGGCCTGAAGCAGCACCTATGCGTTGCCACACTGTTGATGTTGGTGAAGACTGTGGCATGGTGTGCCCGGGGCCTCTGTCGTAGGGCCTCACAAGGCTGCAATCACGGTGTGAGCCAGCCATGTTCTCAGCTGGGGTCTGGTATCCTCTTCATGCCCCTTTTGGTTGTTGCCAGAATTCAGGTCCCTACGTTGGGGCACTGAGGTCCCTGTTTTCTTTCGAGCTGCCATCAGGGACCACTCTCGGCTTCTGGAGGTCCCCTTGCAAGTCACACCATGGCCGCTTGCCTGCTCCAAGCCTGCAGGAGAGGGCCTCTCCGCCATGTCCCTTTCATTTAAAGCCTGATGGTTCAGGTCCACTCGGGTGACATCCCCTTTCATTAGCTCAAAGGTACTGTACCGTATCACATTCACTCACAGCGGGGCATTAGCGGTGTGAACACCAGGGAGCCAGAATCTCCTAGGCCAGCTTAGAATTCAGTTGGTTAGCTGGGTGTGGTGGCTCACACCTGTAATCCCAGGCCGAAGCAGGCGGATCACCTAAGGTCAGGAGTTCAAGACCAGCCTGGCCAACGTGGTGAAATCCCATCTCTACTAAAAATATAAAAATTAGCCAGGTGTGGTGGTGGGTGCCTGTAATCTCAGCTACTTGGGAGACTGGGGCAGGAGAATCGCTTGAACCCAGGAGGTGGAGGTTGCAGTGAGCTAAGATCATGCCACTGCACTCCAGCCTGGATGACAGAGCAAGTCTCAAAAACAAACAAACACATAAATAAATAAACACCAAGGCTGCTGAACGCAGTGGCTCATGCTTGTAGTCCCGGCACATTAGAAGGCCGAAGCAGGAAGACTGCTTGGGGCCAGGAGTTTGAGAATAGCATGGACAACACAGTGTAACTCTATCTCTACAGTAAAATAAAATAAAATAAAATAAATAAGGCCGAGCAAGGTGGCTCACGCCTGTAATCCCAGCACTTTGGGAGGCCAAGGCGGGTGGATCACGAGGTCAAGAGATTGAGACCATCCTGGCCAATATGGTGAAACCCTGTCTCTACTAAAAGTACAAAAAATTAGCTGGGCATGGTGGTGCGTGCCTGTAATCCCAGCTACTCTGGAGGCTGAGGCAGGAGAATTGCTTGAAACCAGAAAATGAAAGTTGCAGTGAGCTGGGATCACACCACTACACTCCAGCCTGGCAATAGAGTGAGACTCTGTCTCAAAAATAAATTAGAAAATAAATAAATAAAACAAGAATGTAGTTGGTTAAAAGAAACTCACTAAGTCCAGCCCACAGTCAAGGGGTGGAAATTATACAAAGTTGTGAAGAGTCAAGGGTGGGAGATCACTGGGAACCCTTTGAAGCTGCCTGTCTCTCACACCTTTTGGACAGCCTCTCTCTCCCAGCTGGGGGTATTGGGAGGGGGTGTCAAATCCTGCCCCTTTCAGTGTCTGTTGCCTTTACTCATGGTGATGTGTTTCCTGTGTGATCTGTAATTCTGAATTGTGAACTCAGCTTCAGAGGAGCTTTATCTGAGAAATCCTGGGTGGCTAGGCTTGAGGGAGCCACCTAAAGTGGTTTTCTGTTTGGTTTTGCCAGGAACCGCACTGTACCACTAAGCCAAGGCAACTTTTTTTTTTGAGATGGATTTTTCACTCTTGTGGCCCATGTTGGAGTGCAGTGGTGCAATCTCAGCTCATTGCAACCTCTGCCTCTCAGTCAGGTTCAAGAGATTCTCCTGCCTCAGCCTCTCAAGTAGCTGGGATTACAGGCACCTGCCATCACGCCCCGCTAAGTTTTTGTATTTTTAGTAGAGATGGGGTTTCATCATGCTGGCCAGGCTGGTCTCGAACTCCTGACCTCAGGTGATCTGCCTGCCTCGGCCTCCCAAAGTGCTGGGATCACAGACGTGAGCACTGTGCCTGGCCCAAAGCAACTTTGTAATGTTAATTGCTCAGCCCTGGCAGTCCTAGACCACATAGGCAGTGTGACTTCAATGGAGGAATTCCACACTTCTTTTTTTTTTTACAATCCAGAGGTTTTTTTTTTTTGTTTTTTTTTTTTAACATCTATTAATATGCCCTGAATTCATAGGGAAGAGGTTCCAGCAGCTCAGGCTCCCTCCCATTGGTTCTCACACAGTGCACTTCTCGGGTGGGGCAGGCTGGCACTTCAGTTGAACCCAAGTACCTTTCTCTTTGGCTTCTTTCTTTTTCTGATCATTTTCCTTCGCACGTTTCAGAAAGCTATCTCAGCTCTTAAAGCGCTTGATGTGCTCAGTACGCACATTAATTCTCTTGAAGAATCTTGCCCTTAACTTGTTTGTTTACAGCAATGCCAACAGCATGCTGGGGAACACTGTGGACTCCCCCAGTTTTGCCATGATAACATTTGTGGGGCATTTTTTTTGAACAGTACCCATTCCCTTGATGTCTACAATATCACCCTTCTTATAGATTCGCATACACGTGGCCAAAGGAACAACTCCGTGTTTTCTAAAAGGCCTGGAGAACATGTATAGAGCGCCTCTCCTCTTTCCCTTTGTGTTCATTTTGGAGAATTACGGGAAGATGGCGGTTCCAGCCGAAAGGAAACGAATTCCACACTCCTATAAGACAGGCCTGAAAATGTAACAGTTTCAGGGGAAACTTGTTCACCACCTGAAGCTCAAATTTTCTTGCCTCTCTCTGTTCCCCTGGGTGGAAATTTTTCTGCGGTTTTTCTCTAAAGGTGTTGCATTCCTGTGTCCCCAGCTTCATCATGCTTGACTATAACCCTGACCCTTTGCCTTGGAAGGGCTTCCAGCGCTCAACCCAGCCCTGCCCTCAGGCAACTGCAGCCCCAGGTCCTCTGTCCCCACCTTGGGTCTTGGTTCCCTCTTCACTTCTGGCCCTAGGGGACCTGGCTTACTTTCTTAGGAACTCAGCTATATATTTATTTTATTTATATATTTTTCGAGATAGAGTTTCACTCTTGTTGCCCAGGCTGGAGTGCAGTGGCCTGATTTCGGCTCACTGCAACCTCCACCTCCTGGGTTCAAGTGATTCTCCTGTCTCAGCCTCCCGAGTAGCTGGGATTACAGGCGCCTGACACCACACTGGGCTAATTTTTCAATTTTTAGTAGAGATGGGGTTTCACCATTGGCCAGGCTGGTCTAAAACTCCTGACCTCAGGTGATCTGTCTGCCTTGGCCTCCCAAAGTGCTGGGATTACAGGTGTGAGTCACCACGCCCAGCCTCAGCTATATATTTGAAAGAACATTTGTTTCTTGCCCAGCATTTCTAGGTGTTTTGAAAAGGGAAACTAAGGTTATCTAACAGGCTACTGAGAACTTAAAGACAGGGAAAATCTTGGACTGGAGATTCCTGGAATCACAGAATTGAAAAACCCCAGCTGGGCATGGTGGCTCATGCCTATAATCCCAGCACTTTGGGAGGCCAAGGCAGGTAGATTGCCTGAGGTCAGGAGTTCGAGACCAGCCTGGCCAATGGTGAAACCCCATCTCTACTAAAAATTCAAAAATTAGCCCAGCGTAGTGGCAGGCACCTGTAATCCCAGCTACTCAGGAGGCTGAGGCAGGAGAATCACTTGAACCCAGGAGGCAGAGGTTGCAGTGAGCCTAGATCACGCCACTGCACTCCAGCCTGGGCAACAAGAGTGAAACTCCGTCTTAAGAAAAACAGAAAGAAAAACCCTCACAGTGCAAATCAACAAAATCACAGAGTTGCTTTGGGAGCAAGAGTAGCAATCAGACACAGAGACCGTGACACAACCTGCTTGTCCACTCAGGGATCCAGAACCTCCACCCAGTAACCTTATCCGGGGGCGATGGAGACAGGGAAGGTGACACCCAGGCCAGTGTCATCTCTTATAATGAGTTACCCCTCACACAGGGCCAGCCTGCTGGGCTTGCTGCCAAGGCCCGTCAAATGGCCTTCGCTGTGTGTTTCCCGTCATGTGTGCACGTGTGTTGTTGTGTAGTGCCTGTCGCAGGGGTTACTCGTCACGTGCGTTTGCATGTTGCACAAGTGTGGCCTACCAGGTGTGCCTACATGTTTCCTGGCACATGTCAGCATCTGGGTATCCTCTGTGTGCCAGGAGCAGCCAGGTGGCCTGTGAAGCCTTCTCTTGGGAAATGTCCAGACTGGAAGAGCGCAGGCAGCAGCCAAGCCCCGCAGTGGCCATTCCATGTGCCTGGGTCACCTGCAGGTCTGCTCAACACCACAGCCTCTGTTCCTTGACACCATGGACGTCAGAAATGACTTTGAACTGGGAAGACCTGTAGGCCCGCTATCCAGGCACCTGCTCCCCATTTGCCCAGCATCCCCAGGGGCCCACACCCTTCCAAACATCACCTTGCCCTGCACTCAGAGGCGAGTCATCTGAGTGTCAGGTTGCCCAACTCCAACTGCTTTCACTGGAGCCTGCGGGGAGGGTGTTGCCAGCCACCTCCAGAGAAAGCTCCGTCCACAGATGCCAAGGGGAACAGGAAGCACACAGTGCTGGCCTTCATCTAACCTATGGGTCGTACCTCAGGACTGCTCCTGAGTCTGCTTGTCATTGAAGGCGGCGCCAAGTCTTCTGCTGCACCCTTTGGGTTTCTTACAGGGCCAGGGGTGCCTGCAGCCGCTACATTAAGGGCTCCAACATGCCCCCTCATTTACAAAGACACACTCAACAGAGAAGGAACCTGTGGCTCAGATGGGAGACTCCCTGTCCAAGGCCACAGAGCCTGGCCTCAGAGCCCACTAGAGGCTTCAAGAACCAAACTCACGAGAGGGCAAGAGGAGAGATGGGGCCACAGTTTAGGGCTGGGGAAATCCGTAGAGCAATGCTGAGGCAGGCGTGGAGCCTGGAGGTGGGGATAAGGGTCTGGCCCCAGGCAGGGTGGAGGGGCTGCGGGGAGTGAGGAATGGTGGGAGCCAGCCCCGGGGCCCTGGAGTGCAACAGGTGGCTCCAGGGACCTCCCACAGCGCCTGCCTGTCCTCACCCAAGCGTTCAGAGCTCTTTACGGGGGGTGTCTGTCTCCTCTGGCCACAAGAGGAGGCATGGAGGAACGGCCACTCAGGCCTTATAAGGGTTCTGCACCTCCACCAGCCTGTTCCTCATGGTTATTGCAGCTGAGGCTGTAGCCGGGAAAGGGTAGTAACGGAGAGTACCTGACCTCCAACCACCACTTCCAAGGCCCTGCTGGGCACGGGGTGACCCCACCATGGCTCAGAAGTAGACCCTGTCCGAATAACAAGAAGGTGTGGGTGTGCGGGTGGTCGCTGGAGGGCCGCGGATGCTACACAGGCCCCTGGAGGGTGCGTCTCCGGAGTCTGCCCCGCCCTCTGGACCCACGAGGACCCAGCTACGCCATCACACCCTCTTCTGTCGTGGTCCCTGCCCGCGGCTCCGCGCTCCGCCGCTCCTTTCTCCCGGCTGGGGTTGGCAAAGGCAGGCAGGTGTTGGAGGGGCGGGGCCTGAGAAGGGAGGCCGCCTGGTGGGCGGGGCCTATGGGCACCTGGCCCCGCCCCCCGCACGCCCCGCGGTTCCCCCGAGTCAGGGCCTCC